AAAACACATATACCTATTGAAGAAGTCTACACGAAGACTACAATTTGAAACCATATAACTGACAGAAGCAATAAATAAACACTTTCCTTGACTTTCGCTTAAGATGTTTTTAAATGTTCAAGCTGTTGCAAATTTGTACACAATTCGCAGAAAAATCAGAAGTCAACAGGCAGTCAAGTCGCCGATATTCCTCTTCTGCACGATCTTCCGATTTTCAAAGTTTTCATCTGGCGGAAAGTATTGTGGAAATCTTCAATTTTGTTCCGAATATTCTTCGGGATATTTTCTATTTTTCTAGATCAATCAATCAGTTTACTCCATCATCATCAATTCATCTATCTTCTATTGTTTCCATATCCAACGTTCTATTTCTTAACGTACTTTGGCAAAATTGAGCGATTAACCATTAAATTTTGTTTCATTTTATATTAGCAGATTTCTTTATCTTCAGTATAAAAAACGTCGTGGCTCTACCGTTACAATGTAGGCTTATTAATAAAAGTATTTTCAGTATTTTCTTTGATTAGACCGAAACTTTCCACCGCAACTTAACCGTTTCTCCTAATGGATAAAATATGTAATACATTTTACCGGTGAACACCAAAACAAGCCGGCACACGGAAACCAGCCGCGTGCTTTCTTCAGCATCAGCCTTGTGACTTGGCCTTGTGCTGTTGCTTCATTTCTTCCATTTCTTCTGAAAGACGCCGACGTCTAGCGAAAGTGAAACGCCCCACCGACGCCGATACGTACCCCGAACCTATATAACAAAGTGGTCGTCATCCGGTGCTCATGAGTGATTAGTTTTTCTTTTCAGAAGAACCCCCTTCGATTTGGTGTCTGTGGTTCCCAGACCATGAGGGTCCACCGGTACCTAGTGGTTAGTGTCTTTTTGTGTCGATTTCTTCTTCCACATTATTTTTGTTGTTGTGTGTTTTGTGGTAGCTACTAATTTTGCTGGAAAAGTGATTAACTAAAAGTGAGTAGTAATATAATATACAGGGTGGAAGGCGTTAAAAAGCCTTGCAATAAGCAGCCGAATTTTTAAGGCTTAATGAGAACAGCTACAAAAATGATGTTTTTCTTTTTGAAAAATATTAATTAGACATCCTGTATATTGTATTTGCTGCTCATCTCAATGAAAAGCATTATTTTAAATTTACATTTTCACTAAATCTTAATTTAAATTCATAAAAATGTCAATTCAAATAATGCTTTTCATTAGAATGGATTAAATGCACTAAAAGTGGAGTTCAAACCTCTTGAATAATTATTGGTTTTTTGAGCTTAGTTTGGGCTTAAAAAAGTAAACAATTATTGGACATTTAGACAAAAAAAGTAGGATGCAAATTACAACTAATAGGTTTTATATTGGAAAGTTTTTTTCCTTTCTTTAATAGGTTTTATGGCTAACAAGTAACTAACATTAAGTTCGTATTATATTGTTTTAAAGGAAGTATCATTTATAAATAAAACCAAACCCAAATGCTAATTTTCAATTTCAAAATACTTTATTATTGTATTAATTAATGATTATTATTAATGTTTGTTATAAAATCTGCTATTTATTCCTTCATCAAAATTTTTGGACTATTTCTATAGAATGTTTGCAAAAATCAAAACACACGTTTAATAGATATTAATTAAGTAGTTACTTAATTAAATTAAATTCATTTAAATAGKCGGGGCAGAAAACGATTGAAAGCAAAAAACTATARTWAAAAATGTCTACATTTCAAATGTCTTCTACGCAAAACGCATTTAATTTAGCRTAACAAMTTAGAGCTAAAATAAATAAAATSTACTTCAGTACAACTTGTTCTGCTCAAAAGTAAGCTAATATACACACACCCACTATATGAACACAAAGTCTTTAAAACTACGTGTTTTCCCATCTTCTTCAGTTTTGGTCTTGGAAAAGGTTCTCTGAAGTTTSATTTKGTGCCMTTTCACAGCGGTRGGYTCATTGAACCAAACTAAAACATTTCAAGCTTTTAATATTAACTCCAATAAATCAATAGCATATTYAGATGAAGGTGAAATTACAATAAACAATTACATTACAATTAATTAATTACACAAACAAAGCTAAATCGGAATTACGCTGACAACACATGAGCGCTAATGAGCGAACACAAAACAGTTTGTGTAAGTTTTTGGTTGGCACACAATCCAATACGCCTACATCTAAATGGTCAAGTAGATTCAAGGAAAGGTGATGAAAACATTGCAACAAAACAAACACCTTTCTATTTCCTTTTCTGTTTGTATTTATGGCACTTTATTTACGAATAATGTTAGTGTCGGACTGATTCAAAAAAGCAAACTGCGAAGATGATGCCATTCACTTTCTCCCAAAATCACATGAATTATTTAATTAATGTTAGAATTATTCAGATTATATACGTAAACTGTTCAGAAGGTTTTGTTGCTGTTGCGTGAAAATCGAGTTTCACTAGAGCCTAATTAGAACTAAGTGAGAAGATATTCAATAAAGCCAAACAAAATGAAAGCAGATTTTCTGCAAGTAGCAGACAGATTAATTAAATTTTGCCTCATCATTAAGGACCAAACCCAGTCAGTGTCAATAACTCCCATTACATAACGCATAAAAACATGACCGATCAACTTTCCATCCATAAACTACACCCTGTATAGCATGTAGACCTGAAAGAAAGTGAAATTGTTTCTTTGGCCTTATTAGGGTCAAGTAAATGCGCAATTTATCGCTGGTAGGCAGATCATTTATTTTTTGCATCGAGTAGGTACACATTTTTGTTTTCGAGGTTTTCCTTGTGTGGTTTTATGGGAATATAGTAGAATTTGTATGACAGAGAAAAATTCATATTAAACAATTTAACACGGTTAATTAAAGTTAATTAAAATTGGAAATGGAAACATTGCAAAATTTACAAAACTATAACTTTCAATAACAATTTTTTTTAGATAAGCAGCACACGTGAACAAATTTTAGTTTCAGTTCTTCTGTATTTCGAAACAAACTTGTGATCAAATAATATATTTTGATATCAAAATTCTTCATTGTGGTTTACATTAGCCAATTTTATAGATATTTCCTATTTTTATTAAATCAATTTTCTAAGTTGCTCTATTGCCTAAATACCGTAAAAACGTGGACACGTACCAAATCTGGCAAATTAACCATGAAACATTACATTGAAGAAAGCAATCTTTGCAGCTGATTCATGATTTTTTATACTTGATTAGGTCCCAGTTTTTCTACCAAAATCCTGATCAGATTGTTCCGACTCACTTCTATAGGCGAGTTTTTATTTAAATAATTAAAAATTAAATACAAAAACTGTTAATTTGGTTTTTCCAATTAAATCGTTTCATGCAAAGCTGTTGTTCATGATGGGATGGTCAGGTGAATCCTATCGAGTTCGGGTTCATTGACAAGTTCACTAATAAAACATTACTTTCACTTAAAGGCGCGATATGGCAAAGTCGTGGTAATGCAAGAATGAGGAAGTGAAATACTGCTTTCATGGTAAATGATTTTGTCTCCAATAGAAGTAATCGTTTAAGATTACTTTTAATGAACTAAAAGGTTGCTTTAGCGGCAAGCTAATAAAAATAAATTAATTATAAACTACACACAAAATTTTTGAAGATATTCATTAATTATATTATTACTATTTATTGCAGATTACCTTGCTGGTAACACTCAATGTTTCGTGGACAATAGCAAAAGCCGTTGTAGTAAACAGTGCGTTGAAGGATGAAGCTGCGGCAAAACCACAGTAAGTAATAAATTAAAAATTAAACCATCAAACAAATGGAAAAATGCATTTTAGTCAAGTCAGTACAATAGATACTTGCCAAATATGTTACAAAATTAACCAACAATGCTCAAAAGCAATAATAATTTCTTCGCAAAACTGCATTTTCAGCAGTCAGCTGTAACACACTAAAAATTATTAAATAAAGAAACGAGGAGCAGCAAAGGAACCTTATTCTGGGCGCATTATTGCTGTAACCACACAACTCTGCAAAAATGCCGCAACAAGAACATAATAAATAGAATTGTTAATTAAAGCCTATATTGCTTTTTTCAATCTTTTGCTTCATCTTCTCATCTTTCACTTGAATTATCTGCTTCATTTCCGTGTTTATTCGGTGGACCATTTGCTTTTCCAAACAGTGAATAAGTTCCTCGATCTTACCCTAGTTGTCCGTAATATTCATTCGTTCATTCATTCACTCACATTCTTATTATTGTTTAACTGAAAACTATCTACAAGACTCGACTTAATTAAAAGTATGAAACAACATATTTAAATAAAAGAACAGACACCACAACAGTGAATAATTTTAATTAAATAAGAAAGAAATTAAATTAATTACAGACTGTGTTTATATATAATTTCTTTGCTTCTAGGACAGTGCAAAAACGGGTAGGCTATGACTATCCAGCGCCTAGTGGTGGAGGCGCAGACGCAAGTACTGGATATGCCGATGGAGGCGCAAGCGCTTTCGGAGGAGGAGCATCTGCACAAGTGTCCTTCGACGTAGGAAACGTCGATGTTCAACATGTTGATGTCCATCAGGTGGATGAGGGAAATCTTGGTACGTACTAACAAACACTCGGTTTGTTAGGTCTTACTCATGAATGAACTCACTGCGTTCCAGGTGGAGACAATGGCTTAGGTGGTGGATATGCCGGTGGTTACGATGGAGGAGTCGAAGTCCAGCACGTAGCAGACATTGAACATCACCACGATATAGATCATCATCATGATCATCTAGATCATCATGATATTCATCTGGATCATCATGACGACCACTTTGATCACCATGACATCCACCATGATGACCACCACGACCACCATGACCATCATCATGATCCCGGCTATTGGAAGAAGAAGGTCACCTGGAAGAAGGGATGGAAGAAGATCTGGAAACCAGCGCAAAAAAAGATTTGGAAGCCTCAATGGAAAAAGTACTGGAAGCCCATTTGGGTGCCCACAAAGAAGCCTGGATGGAAGGAGATTCAGGTGCCCGATTGGAAGAAGATCTGGAAACCCGTCTGGAAGGACATAAAAGTGCCTGCTTGGAAGGAAATTCAAGTTCCCGATTGGAAAAAGATTTGGAAGCCCCAGTGGAAGCCGATACAAGTACCAGCGTGGAAGGAAATTCAGGTAATCAATTTAAACTATAACTTTGCTATTAATTTCCTTGCCTAATTTTTTCAGTTTCAGTCAAACTATTTTTAGGTTCTAAAATTTTCCAAAAACTAATTTTTTTTTAAACCAAAATAATTTTCCTCTGCTTATACCTGATATTCTCTAAACGTAAAATTCATTTCCTACAGGTTCCTGACTGGAAAAAGATATGGAAACCAGTCTGGAAAGAAATATCAGTGCCAGCATGGAAAGACATCCAAGTTCCCGCCTGGAAAAAGTACTGGTATCCAGTTTGGGTGAAGGAAGGAGTACATGGCGACCATTTCCTAGGCAAAGACCACGAAGGAAGCGAATACACAGCTCACGATATCTGGAAGAAGAAGTTGATTTGGAAATCCGCATGGAAAAAGTACTGGAAACCGGCCAAAAAGCAAATATGGGTTAAAGACAAAAAGCTGGAATGGAAGGAAGCATGGAAACAGATCTGGCGCACCGAGAAGAAGCAGATATGGGTATCCGATAAGAAGTTGGTCTGGAAGGAGGCGTGGAAACAAATCTGGAAAACCGAGAAAAAGCAAATCTGGGTCTCCGACAAGAAGCTCGAATGGAAGGCTGCTTGGAAGCAAATCTGGAGAACTGAGAAAAAGCAGATCTGGCTTCCCGATAAAAAATTGGAATGGAAGGAGGCATGGAAGAAAATCTGGGTGCCGGATTACAAGCAAATTTGGGTTCCTGGCTGGAAGGAGATTTGGAAGCCAGTCATCATCCAAGAATGGTTCCCTTCGCCAGACCACCATGATCACCATCACGAAGAGCACCATGGATGGGACCGGTCGGATAAAAGCGGACAGGTTGACGCCAAATTTGTTACACCTCCATCAGCAAGCAACCTTCAAAAAAGGCATATAGATGGGAACCCAACCACGGAACCGCCGAAAGAAGCAGAAAACATTCAAAGTCAGAAGTCGTAGCTCATATTGAGGCACTACTGAGGGTACCAGTTGCCCAGCCACGTACCTTTGTAAATAGTATTATTAGGTCAAACTTATGCGAGACTTGCTATGAATTTTGCGAAACGAGCTGAAAATTTGAATAGCAAGAGCAGAGCAGGCTGAACCTCTGGAATTCAATGTAGACTGACTTTAAATTACATGCACAAGTCACGGTTCCCCAAAAAAGATTTCGGGAATTTTACCATTCAGGCAAAAATGTGCTATTATGTTCTTAGATGGTCATTCATTTCTTTAATGTGTACCAACTAGTCCTTAGTATTGATAATATCTGTTTTCTGTAGTTTTAAGTGTTTTGTTTTTTCTTGTTGTATATTTGTAAATAAATTATTTTAATATTATATCCAGAATATTTCTGTCACGGAATATCACCCATTGATTAATATCAAAGAGCGCTTGGATGCGGTGTACTCTACTTCTTCGATGATGACTATCAAAAATTGGTTTAACGAGTTTCAACGTGGTCGCACTTTGATTTTTGATGAGGCACGCCCAGATGCCCCGAAAAGGGAGGAGAAAATAACAAAAATCTACTATCTCGTATTGGCAAACCTCCGATTGAAGAAAGTGTGAAGAAACAGTGTCCCATCGGCCGGAAAGGTGATGGCCACCGTTTTCTGGGATTTACAAGATGTGATCTACGTCGACTACCTGAAGAAGGGAAAAATGATCACAGCACTCTACTATACCGAATTATTGGGTCGGTTCGACATCGAATTGCAGAAAAACGGTCCCATTTGACGAAGAAAAAAGTGCCATTTTACCATGACAAGTGCTGCTCCATCTACTGTATTCTCCAGATTTGGTCCCGTGTGACTTCTTTTTGTTTCCAAACTTCAAAAAGTTACTCGACGGGCAGAAATTTCAGTCGAATGAGAAAATCATAGCCACCACGAAGGCGTGCTTTGCAGACCTCGAGAAGACGTATTTTTCAGACGGGTTAAAGAAATTGGAGCATTGCTGGGTGAAGTGTATCGAATCAAAAGGAAACTATGTTGAGAAATAAATCGCCACTTTTACAAAATTTTCGGTTTTTTTTGGTAGGCTAAGTACTTATCGGACCGCTCTCGTATGTTATATTGGCATATCGTTAATGGAGGATATTATTTGAATTAAAACTTAATTTTAATTACCACTCTAGAAAGATTACAGTACACATCAACAGTACATTCATATATTCTATACTTTCTTAGCCCAACATGTATACTTGCCGACAACTTTTTTATTTTTCGTTGGCTTGTTGCATTACATGGTCCCAAACGTAAGAAGCAACAATGAACTAAAATTTTTAACTATATTTTTTCAATCAAATTTTTTCTTACTATTGAATCGATCTTTTTTTAACATAACTTTCAACTATTTTATCATTTAAATGTTTCCATTATTATTGAAAAATATTTTCTGTCCTCTCCTAACTCTAATCCTGAATTCACTTCCATAATTTACTTCACAAACGTTTTCATGTTGCATTTTAAGGAATCTAACTGTGTCTCATTTCTTATCATCATTATTTGTTGTTTGTTGAAAAATTACTATTAATGTTGTTATTTAGTAAATTATTTCATTCGTTTGATCCCTCTAGATATAAAAATGTAATTAATCAGTTAATAATATTAAAAGATTAGCACAAACTTCTTGCATTTTAAGTACAGCATGTAAACGTTTTCACCGAGTATTGAAATGCAGCTGCCTAACAAAATATACAAAAGTCATTTGCAACTAAAATAAAAATAATTGGGCAGAAAGACCGATTGGGTTGATAGCCTTTTTCTGTAGGAAATAAAGATTATTTATATATTATATGTATAAAAATAATTCTTTTTTGTTCAACAATTTATTATAAAAAATAAAATTTAAAATAAATAAATACTTAACAATAAATAGTTCAGGATTAAAGACCGTTATCTCACATTGTTGGAATTTAGTATGCTCAGGATGGTATATAAAGTGCAGTTATATACAGTTAAGTTTCCTAGGATTGGCTCTATTTGTGCAGAGCTTTTGGCACAGGAATCCATTCTTTTATTTCTACTGGAGTCCACACTTTTCTCCAGATTGGTATAAATACCTGTAAAAGCATTTTATCACAATTACCTACTGTTTTTTAGGACCGAAACACATACCTTTTTTACATGCCATTCTTTTACCCACTGGAACTTCCATTCTGTTCTTGACTTCCATAATCCGTCAGTTATATCAGACCGTGAAATAGATGATGGATATTTTCTACAATTTTAGTTTAATGTGAAATACTGAAATCCGTTAATTTTATTTAGAACAAATATGTTAGAAAAATAGAAATATCCACCAAACTTACCTTGAAGTGCTTACGTAGCCACCTTCAGTGGTTCCAAGATTAATCGATAATAAGACCAGCAATATGAGTACCTAAAATATCTACACACTCAATATTTCTGGATATCGAACAATCATTACTTACAAAAATTACTCGTACTCGTACTTACAAAAATTTTCATCGCTTAAGCATTAAAAAATGGACAATTGGCGCAACAACCTGATACGCACTTGGATGACCTGAAGACATGTATGTGCTTTTGACTAGATAACCACTTGAATTTATATAGGCAAGAAATTGTTTATAATTTGCATCCCAAGCAGTGACATTGAAAGTGTTCCAAATTTTCATCAAATCACATCAAAATTCTGTTGAGCAACTTCGGTTTAAGAACGATTATTCTGCGTTTGCTTGAAGATGGGATCGGAATAATAAAGAACTAAAAGTGAAAATCATCAACAATAACAATACAAGATATTAGAAACTGGCTTTTTAAACAATTCCGTGATTCATATAACAAATCACAGGACAAATTCATCTAATTCGAATCAATACATGCATTACACAATATACAAGATATAGAATGAACTACAACTGCATGGCAACTTATGCGGATAACTGGACAATAGCACTGATAAGTCAGAGATAGTTCATCACTTTAGACACAAGTAATTTGCTTTGTTTTTCGATAGCCATTAGGGTACAGCATTAATTAAACATACTGGAAATAAAGCCATAAGTGGTAAACACTTGAAGAATTCAATAATAAGTGAAAAGCGAATAAAATTGAGCATCTAATCCTTGGCAGAAACTGACGACAGCAGATACCACAATACGTAGCGTATCAGTTTATTTAGTCACCACAACAAAGTAATGATAATTGCTTAATCCTAAAATTTGTCGAATTTTTGATGATTGAAATAATCCTCAAATAAATGCATCGCAAAAATTATAATCTCTAATAACCCACAAGAATCAAGCATGATGGATCAAGATGCATTCAAGCAATAAGCAATTTCTACCGCTCTTTCTTTAACCTACTCGATTTTGTCTTTTGAGTTTCAAACTTTTCCTTTTTTGAACTTTAAAATTTGTTTAACTGAAAACATATTTAAAACAGCTTTGTTTCTCAAGCGAATTATATTTCAAGATTTATCATTTGCGTGTTTGTTTTGTTGTTATTTCGCTTCTTGTACTTTTTATTCCGGTCAACTTAAAGGAAATAAAAATGATTTTATATTTCATCAAGTCTATCGAACATCTACAATGGAAATACGTTAGTAGAATAAACGGAATGTTTACTATCTTTCAATGATTTGTTTGCTTTTTTATGTCTTACTTCACTTCTGACACTTTTTATTTAGCCTAACTTAATTTAAAGCGAAATTTAAAACATTCAATAAAATTTGATTTTATACAATAAATTTTGAATTCGGAAAACTCAAAGAATTTAGAAAACCTAGGTATGAAGTCCACCAAAGATTTAAGAAGAGAGGGAGTTAATACAAGAAAGCGACTTTTTAGCTCTTTTCTTTCGAGTTACCGGAAGGATCAACCTGTAATTCTGAGGAAATAAAACATTCCTATTCCAGTTCCTTTAGTTTACTTAATTCTAATAAATTCCAAAGTTAC